ATGCCAACAGAAACATGAGTATTAGCAACACCAGAAGCGATAAGCTGGTACGAAGCACTGGTGCTCACGAAAATGGCAGCCCGGGACACTGCTAGATAAATAAACTTGAACGGATATCACCAAACTGCAATTGACATTAGCCCGACGTGACGGCTGTTTGATAGTATGTAATGTTTACGTTTGTAAGTATTTAATGTTTATAAAACTGGATATCCCCTAGCACTGACGTTTCACCAACATTACGGTCTCTTTGAAAAGTAGTTTGATTGATGATGATTGATATTTGGGGTTTAACGTCCCAAAACCACCATTTGATTATGAGAGACGCCGTAGTGGAGGGCTCCGGAAATTTTGACCACCTGGGGTTCTTTAACGTGCACCCAAATCTGAGTACACGGGCATCTAACATTTCCGCCTCAATCGGAAATGCAGCCGCCGCAGCCGGGAATCGAACCCGCGACCTGCGGGTCAGCAGCCGAGTACCTTAGCCACTAGACCACCGCGGCGGGGCGAAAAGTAGTTTCGAGACCTGGCGTGGCTCTGTGGTGGAATACTTGGTTGCCACACAGAATGCTGGGGTTTGATTCCTGCTGAGAGCATGATATATAGTGTATGCGTTTGTTGGGTCAACGCTGCCGATGTCAGCTTTTCCTTAACGTTAAGGCGCTAAAGTTACTCACGTATGTTCTCGCCGTTCCTGGGTAGATACTAAGTTTCAATCACATGTGGCACATACCCGCATAACAGTGGCACATACCTGCCCGTGGGTATGTGTCATGTTTAAAGGGTGGTGTTCGACGACATACGCAACGTTTGTGACATTATACAAGTCTTCACTAGCACGTCATATTCGTCGAACAATCTCACCCTCCCGTGCTGATTTGGGGTTGACGCCAAGTTAAGGAGGTGACAGCAGTAGAGCAGGCTGTCGTAATCGGCTAGATAGATACACAGATAGACGCCGAAAGTGCTTGCAGTACGCAATGGAAAACTTCGCGTGTAAAGAAATGGCGCCCAGTCGGGCGCACCACAACGCCACGCTGCGGCTGAGTTTCGGGGCGTACTGCTTGTAGCGATACTACTTTTAGCCATGCATTGATAATCGTGCGTTCTACGTTCCTGTTATTTTTTGTCACATTGGTGAAATGGCTCATGAAAAGAAACAAAAAAAATAATGTTCGTGTACCACACATTATGAACCAAGTAAGACAATTTGTTTGTTTTTTTTTGCATTCTGGCGAGTCATTTTTCCAGCTTATGTGCATGTATAAGCCATCTTGGTGGAAAATAAGTCCAATTGTTAGCAAGCGCTCCTGTGTGTTACGTGTTCTTCCTCCATTGTTCAGTCTTGCCGTGCCTTCCCAATGATATGAACCAGCTTGCCCAGATGAACGTCTTGATGCAACATTTGCATTGCAATGATTCAGGTGTCAGGTCAGATGAACGACAGTTGAAGTTCACCGCCATCCACCGAAATTGTTCTATGTAACACTATCCAGGCCAACCATCCTCGCAAACACAAGCGTTCTTGACCGTTCGCTACACAAGCGAACGGGAAAGTGGAGCGCAAGGAGTGAACGGCGAGAGGATAGGTGAAGCACTGCACCTATACTCTCTTTCGCACCACATGTCCCGGTTAGCTGTCGGGCGAGAATAAGCGCGCGCGCCCGCAGCTGTTGATATGGGAAAGTGAGTGAGAGCGAACCACTGCCGGCGCGCGGACACCGCCGGATGCCTGACATAGCCCCCCCCCCCCCCAAAAAAAAGTCGTAGGCATCAGCAATGGGGCTGCAAAAGGAACCTCCCCCACCCCCCCAAGCTACACCAGCAATTTCTCTCCCCCAGTCGCAACGCAACACAAGTTTCCACCCCAAGACGAAATTTCGCCGACGACCATGACCCGTCATATCGCCTTCGCATGCTCTGCATACATCGATCCCCACAATACGCGAGATCTGCCGGTTTGTTAATTTTGCAATGCTTAATTTTGATTACTTGCGTTAACTTTTTTCTTTTTGTGTGTGGCTCACACCCGCATCTTCAATCTTCCCGTAATTAGCGAGGATGTAATGTTAGTCATGTCCTTGCAAGTTGCAAATGAGTTCTGCTGAAACCTGCAAGCTGGCGGAAGGGTTAAGAAATGTTAAGAAGATAACCACCTGTTTGTAGCAAAAAGAGCAACATGAAAATCCATACCGATTTCTCAGAAAGCCTGTTAGTTGCTGAAAAATTCGTCCTGTTCTGGGGTTCAAACTCGGGACCAATGCCTATTTGGGGTGGTCGCTCTGCCAATTGAGCTAACCAAGAAGCTAGCAATCGACAGAGCGAGGGCGAATTCATCGACAACTCGAAGCACATGAACACAAGTATTGCAAATGAGTTCTGCGAAAACCCGCAGGGTGGTGGAAGGGTTAATTAGGGGAAAGAAGACGACCACCCGTTTGTAGCACAAAGCCATAAGGAAATCCATACTGAGAATCTATATGGACTTTCTCGTGGCTTTGTGCTACAAACAGGCGGTTGTCTTCTTTCCATTTCTTCACTGCAAGTTGTTTGCCCCCTAGGGAATTCTTCACCTGGCAGTACTGAACGACGACCTTGGTAGGCTGCTACTTTGTCCTGTCCATCTGGGGCTCTAAAGACATGCAGCCCCCGGTTAATTACTCCCGACAAGTAATTTGTTATGTTTGAAGCTTTTTGAAACTTATGCTTTCATACATCCAAGATAAATCAGCCACCCTTGGCTTTATTTTCTGAGCTTTACCTGAACCGGATGTCTGTTGATCAAGTGAAAGTGCTGCACAAAATACTAAGTCAGTCGCTAGATACACGCACCACAAAATTAAATTTCCAAAGGCAATAAGTTTACCTTATTGCTTGCTCACAAATGCACCCACAACCAATTTTACGAAAGCGAGATGAAACTTCATAAAATCGAACACTTCTTCAAACGCTTTACCTTTCTGGTCAAAAATGACAAAAATGCATCTATGATTCATGTTATTATTGTGATGCGATTTTCCGAAATTGAAAAAGAATACCAGATTTCGAACGGCTGTCGGCTTACCATTTCGATCCCCAAACAAACACACGAGACAAAGGCAAAGGTTGTAATAGAAACTGTTGAACTTTAATGACCATCACATAATGACCTAAATGTGCTTGCATTTCACTGTGACGGGACCAACACGAATGCTCACAAATATAGAGAACCAATGGCAGCTTAGTCGTGTACTCTACGGAAACAAACCTGAGCGTCACTCATGTGGCAGGAGGAAAAGTAGGGGCAACGCACGCAGCCCTTAATGAAAATGCAATAGTAAACTGAAAATGGAAACGACACGAAGTTAGGCTTACTGCTTTAAAAGAAAGTAGCGATTTCACAAATAGTGTAGAAATATGCTTTGCACTATTCTCTGCTCATGAGGAAGTGGGACACCAATAGCAACACAATAGCAAATACCACTTCAATAATTCAAAACAACTAACACCAAAACAGACAACACAGTAGCTAGTGCATGCAGCTCGGCGGTTATAATAGTCTACAGTAGTGGCATTGCAAGGTAAACATACCGCCTTCAGGCAGGTATGTTCAAGTGCATTCAGCTGCAATGCTTGAAAGTGGCTATGCAAAAAAGTTGCCAATCGAATGCTTCGCCTTTGCTCTGTCCATTCCACTTCCAATTTACAGCAGGAGAACAGTTGTCACACTTGCACGAGGTATTGCACCTCTATGAATTTAAACAACTTTTATTTTATACATATACATCTGCATGACAAAGGAATATATGGTCATTTGTTCCATGTACCCTTGTCACTGTAGGTGAGTAAAATAACAAATGTCTACAAGGCATCTGGGGATGGTCCGAAAAGCACGAAGCTTTGATGCAGCTTTCCTGCTGTTATTGCAAGATGGAGGGCCACATTCGACGGGCATACAAAGTCGCACGCTGACGGCAAAAAAGTTGTCGTAACAAATGTGAGGGGGAGGTTGGGTTTCTGCAACTGCGACCAAGCAGCATTAAAGGTGAACGATAGAAGCACCACTCGAAAACACCAACAACAACAAAGACACCAATACGCCAGCCCATATACATAAAAGAAAAGATCACCAGCAGCGAGTAGCTGAGGTTTTGCCATATACACATACCATAACTAGCCGTGATGGGAATGAATGCCCCTTCCCATTACCTCTTTTGTACCAGCCATACTGTCTGCTTCAAGCCAGTATACCAAGCATGAGTATCAAAGTTAAACATTCAGTAATGGCGAGTTTCTTTTGAACAGACAATGAAGAATAGGAAGATATCAAGCACAAGATGAAAACCATGAAAAAGTAACTGTGAGCATTGTGGAAGATGTACTAGCGGTATAAGAAATCAAATGGCACACAATGATGATATTTGAATATGTAAACCATACCCACTATCTCCCAATATAGTTTACAAATTATGAAAAGCCTTCTAATAACTAATATCAAAAAATTTCCACATGAATGCACTCTTAACATTCATTTCAGTTGGTATGCTGTGCATTACACACTTTAATAAATGTGCAATGGAAGTATTGCAGAACATGTAGCACAAAATTAAGGAGCCTAGAAGAATGTGATAATACTGCTGTGTAAGATCCCAACGCAACCTTACTTTAGTGTGTGCGTGTGTGTGTGTGTGTGTGTGTGTGTGTGTGTGTGTGTGTGTGTGTGCGTGTGCGTGCACGCTAGCACGTGCATATCATCTTTACCAGAACAAATGAATGCTGCCTGCAATGATTTCACGGAAAAAAACACATAATGGCTGCAAAAGACAACAGCACTATTGCATATTTTATGTTGTCATTGATTTTTTCAAAAGTTTAGTCCAATCAGAAGATAAAAGTGTTGCATCTAAGAAGCGCTAAGCGATGACCGTGGCTAAATACTATTAGTAAGAGCGGCTGGACCAATGACGAGAGGTGCGAGCGAATGCAACAGCGTGCCGCCGCATTGCTCCAACATCGAATTTTCACACAAATTTCATTTGTAATATTTCACAATGCAACAGATGAATAATGGCAAATAACGAAAGCATGACATCTCGCATTCCATAGCTACACTCCTAACCACCACACGTAAGGAAATTGCAAGCCACCCGTTTATTTCAGATTCCAGAATGAGGGTGTGTTTCTCGCTGTCATGTGTGCTACTGATGTAGAAGAAAATAAAATTGCGAGACTTCAATGTGCCACTGACTCGGGAAAATGCAATTACGGTACAGTGCAGTTACTGCAGCCACAGGCATCAATTTTGGAGTGAAGTGTTTTTTGAGCCTGATACATCTGCACCACTGTGTAGCTACCACAATGCTCACAATGCTAATGCACCAAACAGCTACTGAACTTGCAAAGTTGCGTAGTACATGAAATGTTGAATACATGGCATATGCCTACATTTACAACTTGTATTTCGCACAATACAAAGTACGACATGAAAAACAGTATAAAAAAGCTGAATGTAAGCTTTTAAAAAAGAAAACAAATATATAACCAAAACTTATTCATCTGGCATGTCATGGCAAGCTCCTCTTCATCACTCAAAGAAAAAAAAAGACATTCAAACTGGAAACAAAAACAAAAAACAGAGGTGGAGGCAGAGGAAGTAAGATGCCACGATATGATGAAAACATGCACTTACACAATTCACTTTTACACAAGAAACAACAACTGTATCACAACCTCAGCATGACTGCACAATTAACACACTGCCAGAGAAAAAGTCAAAACTGAAATATGGCACCTTGGGGTACGAAAGAGTGAAGCCTATACACAATGCATTCCATTTATACACAATACATTCCATATAGACACCATTTTCGCACTCTTCTTTTTTTCTTCACACAACTTATGTACAAGCAACAATCAACATCACACCACAAAAGCTTTCTATGAATGAATAAATACAAAAATTAATAAAGAACTGTGGCCCAAACACCATGTTTCATTCACAACATAAAAAGTAGAATAGCAAAGCTAACATCACTTCTGTATGGATAAAGGCTGAAAGGGATTTTCTGCTTCAGACCAAGAACACGCTTGCACAAAATGTTCATGTAGATAAGCATTTTATCCAAGTTTTGAAAGCATTCTGTTAGCATCAGTAAACAGCCCTCTGACACTCGCTTGAAACATTTTGCCGCCAGTGCTCAATAATTTTACTGTGACACTGCTTTCAGCTGTGGGAAGATCTGAAAAATGACTGCTGGTACGTTAACCGACAGGCGAAATGCTACGTGCGCGCAGTCTCTAAAGTTTTCAGTCGAGATATAAAAACCACTTATTGTTATTAGAAATACATTGAGTAAAGGTGGATCAATTGCAACATGAGCAAAGAGATGGGATGACAGAAAGCGCTGTGTCTTGTACCCTTGTTTCGTCCGCATCCCATTTCACTCCCTTCTTTACTCAAACATGCCCAGCTAGAAGTACCGTGCTTACATTACCCAAGAAAGCAAAGAAAAACAAGGTGGTTATGATGTTCAAACCAGTTTATGGCTATGCTGCATTGCTCATAGAGATGTTACAGTTTGCACTATGTCAGCTCCTGATAAATGAATATCAGAAATCCTAGGAAACCAGCTCAAAGATGTGAAGGTGTTTGTGGTTTTCTGTCATGATCTAGGAGCAAGAGGAAAAGAAGAAGTGCATTTTCGACAAAGTGTTCGCTCCCACAGGAAGAGGGGGGGGGGGGGCAATACCGTTGCCACAGCTGACTAACTGCTTTCTGAAGACAATGATAGGAGTGTGCTGCAGTGGCAATACTGCCCATAGTGTAGTACTTGAAAAAACATAAAAACGTGGCTCTTCTGCAGACAAGCCAGTTCAATTCATCATTCACTTGTGGCAAAAATATACATTTGCATTCAATCAGGCAGCTTATTTTTTATTTGCTTTCACACACAAACTTTCATTTCTCTGCATGTTGTATAGGCTCATTTTTCGCAATGATTGTGCCACTGCTGTGAGTGTTAGTATTTGCCAAGTGTTAAGGAGATGTCTGAGTACTTGTAAGACTTTTCCAGCAGCTGTTCTTCAACTGCAGCACGAGAACTAGGCACAGCTAGGTGATGTAGCAAACAACCATTCCCATGCATTCTTTATCATTCAACGAGCTAGTCCTTTAGCTATCAAAAGCTCTCTTCTGCAGGGCTTGTCAAAGTGGTGAAAAAGAATGCAATCTGTGGCTTTTTTTTTTTTTTGTGCAAGCCCCTTTCCTATTCTTCCGAGATAGCAGTGATTGATTTAGGAGATGCATTCCAAAAAACCTCAGAGGTATAGAAGTGCACGTAACAAAAAGTGGCCATTTTGCGTCAGCTATTCGTGCTTGTACCTTATGCCTGGCGTGCCTCGTGACATAGCCAAGAAAATCTTCCCCCTCTTCCCCACCCCCCTTTTCAATAGTGTAGTAACAGTTGTTGCGTCATCTCCTCAAAGTGAAGGGCACCCTAGTGGAGGCCAAAGTGGGTG